GAAACAAATAAATCAGTTGCAGATTTGGTTGCTACTACTCTACTATTAGAAACGATTTTGTTTGTTACAAAAATTGTTGCAAACAGTAACGATTTTGTTTGTTGCAAAAATTATTGCAAACATTACTGAGCATTATGAAACAGTACTTACAGAGACAGAGTTGTAACCGGCCCAGCGGGAACACTGGGCCCCCCTCGAAGTTTGTAAAAATTCTAGGGGTATATTAGTAATTTTACATTAATAAAAAAAATAAAAATAAATATATATGGGAAAAGAATGCTGAGCACCATGAAGTAGCAGGGAGAGAGGAAAGATTGTGACATAAAACCTAATCCCTTTCGTTTGATAGAAAACGATAAAAAGAACAGAGGTCCGTCCATTCGAGGCTCGCCGGCTTCAGCTTCATCCCCGACCCCGTCCGGCCGCTGGCTTCGGCAAACCATCTTGTGAGTAAGTTTTTTTTTTTATTTCTGAATGTTGAAAGCAAATAATAGTGTTTGATTTGATCGGATATGTGTGAGTGTGAATATTTGTGTGATTGTGTCGGTGTTGTTTGTGCTGTAATGACATATTAATGAGTTATTTAGGTGATTTATATGGAATCTTAGCAAAGGCTGATGTTTTTTCTTGGTGGGTCTGACTAATTGACTATGAAATAGGAAAAGAGAAAATTTAATGAAGTTGTATTCAGTTTAAAATGGTAATTGTGTCATATGATATGTGTGGATCTTAGAAATTCTCTCAAGTATGTTATATTATTGAACTAAATTGTTGTCTTTCATTGTTTATGTAATACAAAGTTTGTGAAATCGGTTACCATAGTGTTCGGGAATTTCTTGCTGTATAATTATCACATATTCTAATTTTTATTTATTTATTTTAAAATGTTAGTCATGGAACGATTTTATAAGAGATTGCCAAAGAGTGTTGAAACATCATCCTCATCGATAAAAGCTCCTACGACGGCCGCATTATCCCTACCATCTGAAACTCTTCCAATTTTTGGTGATTCTCAAGTTCCATTATCAAATCAAGATATTGCGGAGTTTAATTTGAAAAATCTTCTGAGCGATCTTGGACTACGACCTAGCATAACGAGCTATCCGCCAAATTTGATACAACAGGTTCGTAGAGCTTGCTTGTTAAGAGGTCCATGTCAACCACGCGAGCATCATTTTCCTCAGACTTTAGATGGAAATCTAAAACGAAAATTTGTTGCATCTTGGTTTGATGAATTCAAGGATTGGTTGTAGTGAAGCATTGTGATAGATGTTTCATATTGTTTATACTGTTATATATTTTTTATGGGGAGCAGTGAAAGAGGCCACGATGCTTTTATATTGGAAGGATTTAATAATTGGCGGAAGAAAGAAAGACTAAGAGATCATGTTGGGAATCATCATAAATATAAAGTTGCTTGTCAAAATTTGATGAATCAAACTCAACATGTTGATGTGTCTCTTTCAAAAGCAACAAGTCAATCTGAAATTAAT